ATGACAAGCTAATTGGTAGCTCACAAACTGATGGAAAAATTGATCAAAGCCCCAAAATCTGTTTAGAGGTCATAAATTAAAGTCATTCAAATTAACTCCTTGACTTCTCTCACAGTCTGTCCCTTCAAAGTTGTTTTAACACAAAACATAATGGGGGTAAAGTTGTCTTATTTCATCTGAGAGGGAGACCACCAACTTTAAAAAAAAAAATATTGGAATTCCAAAGAACGCAGCTGCATGTCGGACTTTAATCACATGTTATGAAGTAAACTGTCTGTGATGTGTTCACTCTTACATCTCTCCGTTTCTCCACCAGCCTGGTCAGCCTCTCCACCAGGTGTGTCACAAAGATGACGTCCATGACATCATTGAAGTGCGCCGCCCTGCTGGTGAAGGCCACGAGCTGCTGACCTAAAGGCTGAGCGTTAGTGGTGTTTATAGTGATCTGAAATAAAAAGAACATATGAAATAATATTAACACAGTCTGCAGATATTCAACAGAGACGTCACATGTAACAACCTTGACACCATATAATGAATAATATATCAGTGTGATGCTATTTCCTGCCGTGCATGTATAATGGTGAACTTGATAACTTTAATGCGGTCCAGTCCCAGGAGTAACGGAACCTCTTGTTTTGTCTTATGAATATAGAGGCTAACATGTTCAGAGCTGCAAATCTCTTCAGACTACAGATGAATCAGACATGTTACCTTCTCTGTTCTAGGAAAATGAACTTATGAAAACATTACTGACAACATTGTAATGAACTGGTAAATTAAGAAGATAGCTTCTGACAACAGAATCAAGTGTCGTGGTTACCTGTGTGAGCTCATGCAGCAGGCGTGTCAGCTCGCTAGCGTACGGACACTGAGTGTAGTCATCCTCGGCCCAGCGACCAGAGCGGTCGCAGCGCCGCCACGCCTTCTTCTCCCCTTTACCTGGGGGGTGAGGAGCGTTGCCAGAGGGGTGGGGGGCAGATCCAAAGGTGGCAGGAGCACAGGGCAGGAAGGCCAGGATGCCAGCCAACGTCTTTGGCCACCTGCCACATGAGATATCCCAGTTATCAGGACTGATATGAGTTAAGTTAACAAGACCGTGCACCAGATGGTAATTTCATCCTTTGTGTACTTAGGATATTATTAATTAGCATAATTGATTTACAGCGAGCTCTAATTGTTTTGCAGAAGACTGCCAGATTCTGATAGTTGATTGTGAAACAATGTGCTGTCTTACTGATAACTTCTGACTTAATGAACATGATGCACTAACTTTATTAATCAGCTTGATGGTTTTTCCACTCTTTTGCACAGTGAAACTAAACATTTTTTGATTCATCACAAAAAGCATTTAAAGGCACACTCACTGATTAGACAGGAAAACAGCTGGTTAATGTATTCTTCACTGGATGAGATTTCAAAAGTCTGAAGAGAGTACATTTAGGCTTTTTGGAAAGTGTACCTCGGAGAATAAATGTTTAAAACAAACAGTTATTGATAGAAAAAACTTTGGGAGACAGGGGGATGAAAGACATGATGGTCACTCATCAGCCAGGGAATGTCTTGCAATCAAGCGGCATCCTGCTGTGTTGAAAATTAAGCCAGTGAAGGAGCAAAAAAACTAAAGTTCCCAGAGTGTCCACTTGAGGCTGGCTCCAAAACCCAAGGAATCCCTGTTGGTTCCATATTAAAATTCCCAATTTTACCGCAGAAAATAACACATTTACAGCCTGGCAGAAAAATGTATCTGGTATCCATAGCTCGTTTTGTTATTGATACACTGTACGGGGGTAAACTGCTTTTTAAACTCATTAGTTTTTATTATATTGTGGCTATGAGTCATTCAAAATTAAGGGAGTGACTGAGGTGACAGACATGTGGGTGCGTTGTAGACGTTTGCCAGGAGACTTCAGGCTCGCCTCAGCTCCACCTCTTTGTCTGTTTCTAGACTGATCCAAAGTTTGTTCATGGTCGGCCATGCAGCGCGTGCATTACTTGCAGTGGCGATTCTAGAATCCGAAAATCAATTGGGCGCCCCTCCAACCGGCGTTCATCACCATCCTGTCTGCCAGCGTCCCAACACTTACTCCTCTTCCTCTCTGATAGATGGATCATTCCTCCTCATTTTTCTTTGTTGACTTTCATTAACGATTTTTGGTTTTCACAGCAATGATGAACACTTAGCAGGGCAATGAGAGTGAGTGCTGTCAGACCCCTTGGGGAAGTTTCCTACTGTCATTGCAAAATTTGCACGTTTTGGGTCACTGCTTTGGTATAAGTTTTTCATTAGTAGTAGTTCATTTTTGAATATCAGCAGACAAATCCATCAAATAAAAGACTACATTTATGAAATTCTTAGATTTTGACCTATGATTCATATGTCCATATGTACCATTGACTGTTTTTCACCATGGGACCCCAGAGTTATATCTTTTGCTGTTCCTTTTTTTCCTCACAAGTCCAAAACTTTTGAAAGTTTGAAACTGCACTGCTGAAGCACCACAGATGGGAAACTAAAAAGAAGGATGTTTATATTCAGGAGAAACCCTTTCCTGCGTGTTCCTTCCTGAGGGGGAAATGCATCTTTAAAGAGTAATTACAAGAGTTCTTCGTACGGCCACGCAAAGTTCAGCGAAGCCTCCTCTCAAGCAAGAAATGAGACTTTGCAAATAACGTCATCAAGAGCTAAATTCAAAAACTGCTCTACTGACCAACCTTTGATATGAGCCGGGGAGATTTTACGGGAGAATGGAGAACGTTCATTTTCCAGGTTAACGCCTGTTAGTGTTTCAATGAAATAAAGCTCATTAGAGTGTAAAGAGTCAGTCACACAGTCATAGTCCACCATATTAGCCTCCTTTTCCCAGATAATAGAAGAACTCCAGGTTTAGTTTTAAATTAAAGGTTTTGTTTCTGCATCCTCAGGAGAGACTGTCGGAAATGTGATCAGTTTGTCTGACATCACAGGAGAAGAATACGTCTTCTCTTTTGTGGTTTCTCCTCAAGGCAATGTCAAAATCGGAGTGCAGACATGAATCCAAAGTAATGCTTAATGTGGAAACACTTTGACTTAATCTAAATGAAAATAAAAGAGCACAACCCTCAGGAGGCCTGTAATCTGTTCTGAGGGTAGAGACCTGCCATCATGCTGCCCCCCACCCCGTCCTCTTCTTCCCTCTCTCTCCATCCACCTTGTTTCAGCAGCAGCAGCGGGCGGCGGCTGCTTAGTAATAAATGGCGTTAATTTCGCCCTCAACGAAAAAAAGGGGGCTCATTTTCCAGCCCATTACTCCGATGCTCCGGCAGAAACAGAGCCTGTGTGCCTGCTGCTCTGGAGGAAGGCTGGAAGGTACAGCAGCTACAAAGTATTGTACACGACGATGGCACAGCCCCACAGGGGAGGAGGATATAAGAGGTGTGTGTGCAAGGTCACAAGGTGGTCAGAAAGAGTGGAGGATTGGTAAAAAAGTGGATTTATGGAGGATCTGGAGAGTTGTGTTTCTCCTTCCCATGTCAGATCTTCTCCTTTTTTTACAGCCTTGATAAAAAAAGACTTACTAGGTCAAGCTTCTGCGATTGTGGGAGGTTACCCATGAATAGTTGTTTATTATTAAAATATATAATCAGACAAGGCTCTATTGTCCTCTTTACCAATCAATGATCGGCATGTGGTCTAAGGCAGTCAACATGTGTATATTTTATTCCAGGTCTAATAACAAATAGTGCGACAAACAATGGTCTTAAAGGGAAATTCTGGAACCTAGATATTTTGAGGTCTAAAGGTCTAAAAAGTACCTCTCTTTTTGAATATTTCCAGTAGCTTTCCTCAGCTGTCAGCCATGATAAGTCGTGATATGGCTCACCACTCGCTTTATTTTAGAAACCAAAAGGTTCCATCCACTTCTTAAATACAGAATACTCTCCCGGAGATACAGGTAAACACATGTGACACCCGTTTTTTTAATAGACAATTTAAACTTGACAACATCTCATGCTACCGTTTCCTGTTTTAAGTTTCTGTGCCAAGCTAAACAGCTGTTAGCTTTGTTACAGTCTTTATAAAAAGCCCCTTTCACACATGAACTAATGTTTTGTTTTTTTTACACATTTATCATTTGGCATTCGGGCCCTGGTTTTTTGCAAGAATTTGAATTTCAAAAATGGAACTCACACGGCGAGATTTTGATTTAGAGGTGTGGTTGTTGACTCTTCTAAGGAGTCTAAAGTCAGGAGGGGAGAGATACAGCCATCTGTGTGAGACATACACCTGATCCGGATTGCCGGGAGTGAAGTGCATATGTGAAAGGGGCTACACGGACAAAACACATTCAATTTATTATTTCTGCATTGTTGATTAAACGATTATTGTTTTCTCAATAAATTAATTCAAAGTTTGGTCAAATTGATGTAAAAAAGTCCTCACTAGTCGAGAACCCAAATATTGAGTGAACTGTCATGGCGAGGACAGAAAGCAGAAAATATGAACACTTAAATGAGACAATTTTAAACGTATTCATTGATTATTAAAAATCTGCATTTGGCAATTCAGTTGACATATTTGGCAATCAATGAACTGTTGTAGCTCTATTTTATTTTCATTTCGAGATGAACTCACCTGAAGTCCCCCTTGTTGTTGGTGACTCTGTCAGTGGGACAGTACGGCGCCGACGTCTCCACAACAACTATCTCCATCTGCTGAGTGGTGTTGCCACGGGAACTGGTCACCAAGCACTCCCAGACACCAGCGATGCCCACCTCGATGTTTGAGAGCATGACCTCGCTGGAAGGGAGGAGAGCAGAGACATAAAAGATTCAGTGTGTTTGGATTACATGTCCTTGTGGTGCTTTGATTGTTTTTTCCCTCTGAGCTTCATGTGCAGCGTCCTGGAGGTGAGTCTAGGTTAAGACGAGGCGTTGAATACAAAAATAAAATAAGAAAACTTCAATTATAAATGAACAAGTTACCAGGTAAGTTATAGCCAGCAACTGTACTATAAACATGGACGTAATCAGAGTGGCGTCACCCATCGGTTTCTGAAGCGGACATTAGAAGCACAACTTTGCATCAACCTAAACACAAAGAGCTTCATGAAAACTGCCCACCGGCCGGTAAATGGACTTGAGCTTGTACAGCGCTTTTCTAGTCTTCTGACTACTCAAAGCGCTTTTACACCGCAGGTCACACCTACACATTCACATACTGATGGTAGAGGCTGCTGAGTAGTGAGACCATCAGAAGTAACTCATCCCATTCATACGCATTCATGTGGTGCCGACGAAGCAGCAGGAGCAACTTGGGGTTAAGTGTCTTGCCCAAGGACACATTGGACATGTTGCTGCAGGAGCTGGGGATCGAACCCTCAACCGTCCAGTTGAAAGACGACTCTACCGACTGAACCACAGCCGCCCCGGTCAGATCAGTCACACCAGCCAGCCTCAACAGGACCCTGAAGGAACTGCAGATTTTTGTCCCGCACAGCTGGTACAACAGCCCACAGGTGTAGAAATATTAGAATCCTTATTTAAGGTCAGTATATTACCTGAAAGAATCTTACCCGGAGCTGAAATCAGGACTGAAACACTTCAATCTTTGTGCTGTACAAGATTTAATTCTTTCAAGAGACCCTTGTTGTTTTGTAATGTGTACACAGTGGTTTAAAATGTTGGCCGTGACTTAAAAACGATCATTACTCATGCTTATCTTTCCTACTTCGTCACAGTGATTCATATCTGAATGGAGAAATGCCTGATTAAACAAAGGATGGTGAAACTGTGACAGAGAGCCAAAGCAGGCCATTTGCCAAGGCAACTAATCTCTAATTTTACTTCTTTGTGGAAAAAACAGAGGCAGAAAGCCGGAGGAGATTGCTAAACAACAGATATCATAAAAATGGAAATAAAACCAAATGTTTAATTTCCAAATACAATCCAGTTAAAGTCAAATATACACACTGCTTAGAGAGAACTTAGAGAGCTAATGCCTTTTCATTTTAAGATTGAATTAAGCCGTTTGTGTTCACAACAAGAGTCACAGTACGCCCACACAACACTGTATAAAGTTTGTAAATGCGACTTAGGGAACAATACTCCACAAAGGGGAATGTATGACAGTTGATTATGAATGACACACTGGACTAGAAAGTGAAATGTTTCGGAGTAAAGATGATTAGTGGCTGAGCGGCTCTGATGTGGAGACGCTGTAATCCTGGAGAAAAAAATAAAAAAACGTTTCTCAGAGAGGGTGTGAGAGAAATATTTATTCAGACGCATTAACAGTATTCTCTCTCCTTCTACGGTGTCTGTCCCATCGTGGCTTGACGAGGAATTCAAGGTCTCGTTGTCTCAGAGGAACAGAGAAAATACTAACAACTGATAACTGAAAGAACAAAAATGTTGTAGGATGAAGTAAAAATAAATCAAAAGAAAAAGAAAAATATATCACGTACATCAGATTAACTGAACATCCATCGATCTATTATCTCTTACGGGGGGCTGGAGCCGCTTACAGCTGTCATTGAGCAAGAGGCGGGGTTACACCATGGAGTGTTTACCAATCAATCACAGCGCTGACATATAGAGACAGACAACCAGACACACTCACATTCACACCTACGGGCAATTTAAAGTCACCAATTCATCTTACGAACATGTCTTTTGACTACTGGAGGAAGCAGGAGCACCCGGAGAGAATCATCGCATGCACGGGGAGAACATGTACACTCCACACAGAGAGGCTGCCCTGATGACTTTCTGTGGTTGAGTTTTAAAAATACTTCTTTTTTTTTTTTTTTTAAGTCCTGATATCATATTCTGTGTTCCACTAAATCTCTCATTTCTGATTGCTTTTCTAAAAGGCCCTAAATCAGATTTGAACGCATGACTGAGATGATGACACTGTGGATGTGAGTGTGTGTGTGTGTGTGTGTTTTTGCATGTGTAAATACAACTATTTTCAGCATTTCTGGACATTTTTAGCTAGCTTAAAGGATTTTTGCACCCATCATTAAATAGTTTGGACAGGGGCTTTATGAAGTGTTGTCATTAACACACATTTACACAAACTTTTGACGTACTATAAGAATCTTATACAGAAACGAGTCACTCTCAAACATAACTGTGCTGAAGTACATCTTCTCCCTTACTCGCTTGTTGTCTCACAGATTACACCAAACGATTTCTCTCTGTCTCCTTCTCTAAAACAACATCCTCTCTCTTTGACAGGATGCTAGATGAGTTTAAGTGTGAATGGCGTTCACATTTTAATCTTTTGGGCTCAGTCAAGTTAACAGCACGCGTCTCCAAGGCAACAGCTGCTCTCTCTCTTAAATATATGACTGAAGATGTGGTTTTTTTTAAACATATTTTTGGGCGTTTTTTTCCTTTATTGGATAGGACAGCTGAAGAGAGACAGGAAATGTTGAGAGGAGAGAGATGGTTGGGCAATATGCAGCAAAGGGCCAAGGTCGGAATCGAACCCACGGCTGCTGCAATGAGGACTCTAGCCTCCGTACATGGGGCGCATGTGATAACCACTAGGCTATCGGTGCCCCTGACTGAAGATCTTTTGATGACATTTTTTAAAGCTTTTTGTCAGTGATACTGATACAGTGACAGTTACATCATCCCTGAACATGAGCCAAGCATCTGAATGCTGGGAAATACACGGGGAAACGCCCCCCCACCCCCAAATCCCACACAGTCCCTCACCCCCCCCGCCCCCCTTTCTCCCTTTGCCTGCATCACAGAGGAGTTTTCTCCTGCAGCCGGATCCCAAACTTCCCTCGCTGACCTGCAGCATCCAGACAAAACAAGGGGAGCGGAGAAGTCCAGTTTACGGAAAAATAAGGTCATAGTCACATAATAAACATATGAAGGAATCAGCCCGGCATGTAAAGCAATGAGGCAGGGGCGCACACACACACACACACACACACATATATAAAGCACTGACCTACATCCACAGTAACACTGCTCCATTGTGGAGCAGCTCCCCGAGGACTCATTAGGAACATTTATGCTTGCACGCTGATATTTAACAATTTGTTTACATAATGCTGCTTATGAGACTGTTAACTTTCAATCTGTCCCCTCCACACTGCCAATGATCCAACGCTGCACATGTCCATGCAACCCTGCAGTTAACCTTTCAGATTGTATTATCACTTGTAAGGTAACGTCTGCACCTCTTTTAGAACATGTGAACGCACATGCAGACAGAGACAGCATGAACAAAACTAATTCCAGTAATGCAGCATCCTCATAAAATCAACAACATGTCTTAAAGCACTCTATTACCAATCAAAGTAACCAAAGCTTTAAATAACTAATACTTGGCTTAATCCATCCAGATCTCAATCAACAGTTGATATTTGTCTTCATTGGCTGAAAAAGCCAAAGCCCCAATGTCATTATTTGTGGATGTGATCAAATATTGTCGCCATAGCAACCGATTCTGCTCAAAGACTTTTAGAGATGACACTTCATTTCAGACAGATAGGAGTAAACAAAATAAATTACAACAGAGGCAGTGGAAAGGATGTCTCGTCATCACGATGTGCGATCACTGATGATGTCATTCCATCGGGGGATTGGTGATGCAAAACGTGGTGACAACGCACTGAAGGCAAAGGCGGGTGCTTTCTCACTTTGAAATGTCATTGTTTGAATAATCCTGTTTGAAATTGATGCAGAAAAATATCACAGTAACACGGAACTAAAAGTCATGAGATTGTGCAGATTTTATGGCTGAGTCATTTGAAGATACTTCAGAGAATGGCATCATGATTATCTGAAACAGCAACAAAGAAACAACATTTATATTTCACATTTTAAAAAAAAGTGTACTTATTAAACATGAGGATATGTCAAATTAAACAATAAGGAAAGTACCGAGTTGAAATAAGCTGGAGAACTGTTTAGTTCATGTTTCTTAGTTCTGATCTTTTTGGGTCAATATGTTTAACACACATCATTATAATTTTTTTTAAGTGATGAATATGGATCTCTGGCTTCCATAACCTCGTATCTGGGTTGTATAGGTTTAAAGGTATGACGCTTAAAAAAGGGGTGTCAGTGGCTCAGTTGGTAGAGTCGGTCGTCTGCAAACCGGAAGGTTGGGGGTTCGATACAAATCTCCTGCACCTACATGTCTGATGTGTCCTTGGGCAAGGCACTTAACCCCAAGATGCTCCTGCAGCTTCATCAGCGGGGTATGAATGTGTTTGAATGGGATTAGTTGCCTCTGATGGACACTTTACTCAGCAGTCTCTACCATCAGTGTGTGAATGTGTTGGTGTGACCTGCGGTGTAAAAGCTTTTTGAGTAGTCGGAAGACTAGAAAATAAATATACAAGCTCAAGCCCATTTGCTATTTACAGACAAAAAAACTTCTACAATGACATCACAATAGGAACAAATAACAATGCTGCGGGGCGTTCCTAAGAAAACACACTCTAATGCAATAAGAGAGGAAAGATGTGGGTGGAATTTTAAGATCTTAAAGTTTAGGGTTTATTAGAATAGCCCTCTGTAAGGGGCTGAACCAGAGTTGAACAGAAGTCAAAGCTATGAACTTTCTGAGCAGCACATAAGCTGAAGTCATGATCTGAATTGAAACTGTTAAAGCTTCTGGGAGGATCTTTTCATTTTGTGTTGATCATGGTTAACCTTGTGACTGTTGCTCTGTATGTTGATCTTGATCTGTGAATGTGTAAGTGTTGTATAAGTCTCACTCATGTTTTGGTCTGCATCCTGTAAATCTCTTTGTTAGCCCCAGTGGCA